CTAAGAGAAAAATATAACTTTAAGTTTTTGTTTTTGAAACTACTGTTGTTTCGATCTTGCAGACGTTGACGGTCCACAACGAACATGACAGTTCGCGAATCGAATTCTGTCATTTTAATAACCACGGACACGCAATTAGTATGCCAGACAGACTCAAGATTGTGTTTTTTAAGTTAGTGAACAGTTTTGGAGACTACCAGCGTTATGTTTTCACTACGTGTGATGGAAGGCAAACAAGTTGCCGAAATGACAGTCAATTCGGTGGAAGAGGAAATGTAATTCGCACATTTAGTAACATGGCTGTGCAAATTAGTGAGTCGAAACTTAATACACTGTTACGTAATAGATTCCTGACTGGGAAAGTGACAAAACGTTACTAAAGCTGATCAATCCGTGTTCATTGCTTCTGAAATCTTCCTCCTATTTCTTTAAGCACAGCTTTTTCGTCGATGAAGAAAACCCGGATTGGCTTTATCCAAGATAGCATTTAAGAATGGACACGGACAGCTGGCGTTTAACAATACGTAAAAATCCTTGCAGTTTTGGTTTTACCGTCTTTACCATAGCATTGATTCAGTTTTCAGTCATATATTGCTCACAATTTTACAAGTATCTATAAACCCTGTTATGTAAGGGTCTCCCTGCACCTATCTAGAAGGCCCCAATAGAGAAGATGGGGGTAGAAGCAAAGAGATCCTCCCTACTAAAACCATGTGACGTTATTTTTGAAAACATGCGTAACTCTCGGAAAATTTTTCAATGGCCTCAGACAGTCTTTTTTCTTGACAGCGGTCCACTTGTCGTCCAGTGTAGCTGACTGCAGATTTCTTTCAGAACTGCCAGTTTGAGTGAGTCGAGGTTCTCGTTCTTTACAAGTTCGCAGATATTGCTAACACCTACGATGATTGGATGGCTTGGTTTACCCATATCATCCATCACGAAACTTCTAAGAGTGTCAAGGGCCATTTCCGACTCTGCGACCTCGATGTCTTCCTCAGGAATTTCCTCCGCATCAATACCCCTATGACGAAGCGACGCTGTCTGACGTGAAAACAGGCTGCTGATTTGCTGCGCAGACCTCCACTCTTCGGGCTTAAACGTGAGCTCTCCGTTTTCATTTCTGAGGGTCTTCATCTCCCTCGCTACCTGCACATGATCGCCCTTGTTTCCAGTTCTTGCAACCTCTTCAAATCTCTTCATCAAGAAGGTCTTGACGTTATCAGTCATTCTGGTGGGTCGTTTGTTATCTTAATGATCAGAGCCTACCCCAATGGTCTAGGGTCATATCCTCTGACAGCGCTGCCACTATCCTCACCTTGCGATGAGGTTGATGGCACATCCGGAGCAAACGTCATCCCTGTCATAATTCCCGCCCATTTCCTCCNATCTTGGACTGGTGCCTGACGCTCTCAACCACACTTCCCCTGTGTGTAGCTTGACCAAATGGCTTTATCAACCTCAGCCCAGTATCTCCTTGTGGTGAAACTCCAAGACCACTATAGGGATGAGGCGTCCAGGGCCGATGTCGGTCGCTTTCCACACACGGATGCCACACTCCTCATACTGGAAATTGTTCAACACACTAATACCTGGTATCTTGCTATCTTTGTTTCTCTCCCTGGTCGTGTCCACCTCGACAACCGCTGCTCTGCACCCTTTGATACCACCACGGGATTCTAGTGCTGCTTTCATATCCTCAGCAGTGACGACGTCGTGCCTTTCGTTAACCCAACGCTTTGTGTGTGCCTTCATAACAGCAGTCTTCCTATCCTGTGGCTCTGAGAAATCATATCGTACTGGCCGGTTCTCACCCCTACTTCTCTAAGACTTAGCAACAGATCCCCACTGTGGTGACATCCAGCGTTGCATGATCGGAGGTAGGCTGTTGTCACAACTGAATACTCCTGTTTGACTTTGCGCAGCAAGTCCTCTATGATTAAAAGAACGGCAAAGCTATTTTGGGAGCAGTTGTTGAAAATGTGTACAAAACACTCGACTTCATGCTTGCTCTCCACTGTTGCTCTAGTGATTACTACAGTGATATGCCAGCTTCTTCCCCTCTAGCCAAAAAATTACTCATCTGTTCTCTGTATTGCACAAGCAGAAACTTCATTGCCCAGTCCA